GACGTGACTGCAGTGAGAAAGACAAGGTTTGAAGACTGGGGAGCTGGGGTATCATGACACACAAGGAGCAAGTTGTGGTCAGCACATTACCCTTCCCCCAGTGTCTTTGGGTGGAGCCCAACAAGCTTGGATTTTCCTCGGAGGCCTCCGTGTTCTCTACCCCTCAAGTTCACCTTCTGTGGTCTGGCATACTTCACTAACTCACTTGCCTTGATACACTTGCAATAGTTTTACCTTGTGCCTGTGGTTTTCAACCAGCGGTGATCTGACCCTCCAGGGGACATTTGACAATATCTGGAGGTATTTGTTTGAATAATATTTTATTGAGTTTTTGGTGAAAGTTTACACAGCAAGGTGGGTTCTCCTTTGACAATTTCCACACAAATTGCTCAGTGACATTAGTTACATTTTTCACACTGTGTCTACATGCTCATTAATTGTGTTCTGGTTGTTCCATTTCCAGCACTCTAGTTTCCCTGCCCTGTGACCTTCTCATCTTTGCTTTGGATTAAATGCTGACCTAGTGGGCTCATACCCATGGTTTTTCAGTAGAGCACTGATCTAGCGGGTAATAGCCTTTCCTTTGTGTGTCACTCTGCTTTCTGTTAAAAGGTGATCTCAGGGGATAGTTTTGGTTCAAGGTTTCAAAAGCAGCTCAGGGTGATAGGCTCATGGAGACCTCTGATCTCAGGTGGTCCAGTCAGTCTGGATATTTTTAGGAATATGAGTTTTGTTCTATATTTTCCTCCTATTCAGACCAACAGATGTATCTTAAATGGTTGCTTGTAAGCTTTTTTTTTCTTTTTTTTATACATTTTTATTGTGATTTGGGTGAAAGTTTACAGAGCAAATTTACTTTCCATACAGCAGGTCACATATACTTTGTCTCATGACATTGACTATAATCTCCCATAATGCAACAGCTCCCCTTCCACTTTCTCCCCATAGTTACCTCCTCCCTGTGTCCATCCCTCCCATTCACTCCTGCCCCATGAGCTGTCTCCCTGTGCATGCACAGCCCTTCTAATCCCCCATGATTGATCTCCAAGGAGTGTATCCACGTAATGTAAATCTTCAGCTCCTATGCCTGCCTTTTATTTGGCTGGAAGTCACAGGAGTGGGTTCAATTTCAGGCCCTGGTCTCAGGGGTTCCACTAGGCTCTAACAGACCAGCAACCCGGGTCCTTTTTTAAAAAATAATTTTGAGTTTTATTCTACATTGTTCTCCCACTCTATCCAGGATCTCCTACATGGATCCCCCTGAGTGGTTGACAGTGGTAGCTGGGCACCATCTAGTTCTTCTGGTCTCATAGTCATCTAGGCTGAGGATCACATGGTGTACCAGTCCCTTGGAGTAATTGTTTCCATGTGTTTTTGGTTTTCTTCATTCTTCTTTGCTCTGGATGAGGAGAGCCCCATCGTTGCATCTAGATGGCTGCTTGCAAGCTTTTAAGACCCCAGAATGTCTGGAGATATTTGGTTGTCACAATGAGGGGTGGGAGTGGGTGCTACTGGCATCTAGTGGGTAGTAGCCAGGGATATGGATCAATATCCTTCAAGGCACAGGACAGCCCTTCACAGCAAAGAATTATCTAGCCCCAAACCTCACGAGTGCGGAGAGACACACCTGACTCTGGCTCAGACTCCAGCCAGTCACTGGGAAACCCTAGGGCTTCCTGTCAGTTTGGTCTCCGCTGTCCTTCCTGGGTGACAGGTTTGCCAGGACTGTCACAAAACTCCTGAGGGTAGGGACAATGACTGGGTCTACAGCCAACTCATAACTGTGTTCAGCACGCAAAGGCTAGTCATACACAGTTGTCAGAGAATAACAGTGAGGAACCACATGAAGATTGGCGTATGTGACTGAAATTCTTTCTCTTCTATCTCCCAACTCCAACCTAATGGAGTCAGCGGATGCTGCAAACACAGTTACTCGATTCCCCAAAGCCTGGATCAAAGGTAGAGGATTTGTGTTCTGGACTGGCTATGCTAGTTTAGCAACTTTTTGATCAGGAATTAAGAGATGTTTTAGTCTTTAAAAGAGTGTTGGGCTGGACTCTTTCCCACATTTGCCCCTTCCCTCATGCCGTGGAGAAAGGGGGACATAGAACTTACATATGCTGAACATTGGGGTGAAGTTGGGCACAGGAACCCACTTTTTGTCAGGATATTTCTGAAGTTGGAAGTACCAGGTGGTCTGCAAGGGAGCACAGCATCAAGTGCCTAGGGAGGAAAGTTTAGGGACACGTTCACTCCAGTTGTCTCAAGTACAAAAGAGGAGCCCATTGTACCACGATTTCACAAGAGGAAGCAAGAACCAGACTACCCTGGAGATCAAAGGAACAGTCACCCAGAAGAGGAGCAGCTGGGGCCAAGCAGGGGGACTGTGTCAGCAGGGCAGGGGTGGGAGTCTACGCCACCGGAAGGGGTGGGAGTCTACGCCACCGGAAGGCAGCTGGGCTGGAGCCGAAAGCTGCCCAAGAAAGACCAAACACGTCACCTGTGAAAAAAGAGACACGTCTGTTGGGTGTGGCAGAAAAAGGGGGTTAAGAATTATTCATGACTCCTGCTACCCCAGGCCTTGATGCCTGTTCTCCACGCTGGACGCTCTCACAGTAGGGTGGTCTTTGTCGCTTGTTCAAAAGGGACAATTTAAGTCTCAAAGAACAGAAGCACATCGAAGCAGCCTGACCAGCTTAATTTCATTTTTACTAGATCAATCCTTTCATTATAGTGACTGATCCGTCCGTCTTTTGCTGTTTTGTTCTTCAAAATGCCTTTTTCTTCCAGTTCCCACAGCTAAGACCTTAAAACTGGCCCTTGGTACCTCGTGCTGGGATAAACACAACAGCTTCCTATTCTGGTTCCCTAGTGCCACTCTGACAAGAATATACCACAATTGGGGTGGCTTGAAGAAACAGGAATTAATTCACTTCCAGTTCAGAGGCTTTAAGTCCGAGTCCAAAGTGCCAGGCTCTAGGGGCTGGATGAAAGCCCCTCAACCTTGGGCTTCAGCTCTGCCTCCTGCTCCCAGCCCACTGAAGCTAGAGGCATCTCTTCACTCAGGCAACTACTGGCTGCTGAGGCTGACAAGCTCAAGGTCAACAAATAAAATGGCACAGTCCCGATGTTACCAAACCACACGGCAGGCCATTCATTCAAGTCCATTGAAAGTCCCAAGATTGGCAGAGGATGGCAGGCTGCTGAACAACTACTTGGCTACATGCAGGGTTCAAGCGTGCCATAAGCTAGAGACCGGTCCCAAAGCTGTTTCTTATATACGGGAAGCAGACCACATCCCTAAAGTAGCTACTCAGCTGCTCCAGCAGATTCCACCATGGAGTTAATTACCAATCTCACCACGGGGAATAGCTACATCCAGCTGCCTAGCCACTTAACCGGGCCCAGCCAAGTTGACACACAACCTTAACCACCACACTTCCTAACTTCCTGCCCTACGGCCCCTCTTTGAATGCCCTTCCCATTCTACTTTCCCCGAAGCCTAGACATCCCTGCAAGGGCACTGGGGGGTGGGGGCTTGTAGAAGAAAAGTCCTGAAAACTTGACTGAGCACCTACTAAATGCATCCCTTTATATATCTATCCAATAAAGGCCCAACTCAGGCAATGCAAAAACCTTCCTTCCTGCTACACCAGCAGCTCTGGTGGTGCAGTGGGCAAGGCATTGCGCTGCTTACCCAGAACATGTGTGGTTCAAACCCATCAGCTGCTCCACGGGAAGAAGATGAGGCAATCTCCTTCCACAAATGTTTACAGCCTTGGAAACCCATGGGAGTCACAACGAGCCAGTCATTGACTGGAGGGCAGTGGGTTTGGTTTTTGGTAACTTCTGCATACTGGAAAGTTACACAATTCAGGAGTTTTGCTTGTTTGTTTTTGTAGCTGTTGAGAAAGTGAAAGTACTGACACATACAGTTTATTAGATTATAAGACACTCTAGGAAAACATCCTGTTCTTTTTTACATTCTTCGGAACAGTCCATTCATAGGTGTCACTCTAAACAAACACAGAAAACCTGAGAAAGTCAGTAGTCAAGAAGGTAGAACTTCGGATTCCAACTGTAACTCTTTTACTTATTAGCTGTGTGACCAGGTCAGGCCCCAATCTCAGTGAGGCTGTTTCATTAACTGGAGTTAATAAACCAAAATAAAAGAATGCATGTAAATGCTCCCGAAGAACACTATTACCAGACAGTTACTAGGGATAAGGTCAGCCTGGATCCCGGCTCTGGCCTGGAGGAGGGCCCAAGGTCGGTTACTTTAGCAAAGAAAGGTCATTGGGGGCAGTGGTGCGGGAAGGTTCACAACCAGCTAGAGGGGAACTGGCCTTCGCTCTTGGGCGGCACCTCTAGCACCTAGGACCCGTCTTCTTCAGGGCCTGTCGCAACCCAGGGCTTGCGCGAGAGCTCGGGTCCTTCCTGACAGGTCACCCGGCCCCGTGACCCGGCGGCCGCGCAAACACCGCAGGCCCAGCAGGGGGCGGGGCCGCCCGCAGCCGCCGGGCGACTGGAGGCCCTTTGGTTGGGGCGGTACACTCTCCGCCCCCTTGCGGCCCGCGGGGTGCGGCAGGCGGACGCTCAGCGGCCGGGCCGTACCAATTCTCACACGTAGCGGGGGAACCCCTTCCTTTGGCGATACGCTACGAAGAGAGGATAATACGCATCTCAGTTTCCGCAGCGCCCTGAGAACTCTCAAGCCTTCGTTCTCAAGTCTCCTGGGCCCGTCCGCGGGGCCCAGCGCAGGCGTGAAGCCCCACGTGTTCCCCCGAGGGCCCTCGTCCAAGAATGGGAGCGGCGCGCGCAGGGACGGTGCCTTCCGGAAAAAGGGGCGGAGTCTTCCGGAAGAAGGGGTGGAGTTTTCCAGAAGGAGGGGCGGGCGCCGCTGTAAAAGTGGTGTGGCTGCACTCGCGCTGAGGCTGGTGCGCAGCGTTTATTTTCGACCCTTATCCTCAACACTTGCGCTTCGCGAGGGCGGCTGCGCCGCAGTATGTTGTGCCGGGCGGCGTGCAGGTAAGAGGCGCCCCCAGCGGGGTAGGTGCAGTAGGCCTCGCAGCTGCAGCGGGGACGCGGGCACGGGCCCCAAGGACACAGAGGGCAGGCAGTAGGCGCGGGGAGACAGGGACAGCGCAGGTGCGGCGGACCCAGCCGGCGCCCCGTTCTCTCTCCGTCGGGCCTGGCAGTGTCACGGGGGGTCTCCGCAGGCCGCATGCGCCGGGCGCGTACAGCTTTCGGTGTTATCTCCCAGTTCCAGGGACGTAGCCTTTTCCTAAAGCGGGTCTGAGGAGGAGGGCGGTCTTGGGAAGACCCCGACTGATGAAAACGTTTCCTGCTGGTGCGTCCTGATGTTGCGTGTTAGCACCAAAGCCCAGGGAAGAGACAGGAGGGTGCGTTCACGTTCACGTTTGTTTAATGGCAGAGAAATGTCGTATTTGCTTCAAAACCATGTTTGGCGCGAGAGAAACCGCATACATCAAGGGCATGGCGTGTTGGGTCTTTTTACAGCTGCATCCGCGTAGCCGGACGCACGCGCTGGGGTCGAGCGATCCTCTGTGTTGTCTATCTTTCTAGCACCAGCAGGAAGCTGGTACCGGCGTTGGGAGCTCTGGGCTCCAGGCAGAAGCACAGCCTGCCTGACTTGCCTTATGATTACGGCGCCCTGGAGCCTCACATCAACGCCCAGATCATGCAGCTGCACCACAGCAAACACCACGCCGCGTATGTCAACAACTTAAACGTCACCGAGGAGAAGTATAAAGAGGCCCTGGCAAAGGGTATGTGCGATCCTGCTTACGGATTAAAAAAGTGCCACTGTTGTTAGGGGCTGTCGGGCGGTTCCAACTGGGCGAGCCCGTGACAGAGAAACGCTGCCCGGTGTTAATGGCAATGAGACAGGGAGAGGTGTCAGGATACAGAAGTGGCTTCGTATGAGGTGAGCCACTCCATGCTTCCTGCTCCTTAGTGCTTCAGGCTTGGAGGTCTCTCACTCTCTCTCTCTTTTTCAAATAATATGTATGTCATTATAGAATTAATGTCTTGATGCATTTGCGTAATTTTTTTTTATTGCTTCAGAAAACTTATTGTTGGTACGTGCTATCAAGTCGGACGCAACTCACAGCGACCCCTCCTTGGGTTTCTGAGGCAGTATCACTACGGAAGTAGATTGCCCAGCCTTCCTTCTGAGGAGTGGCTGGTGGGTTTGAACCACCAGCCTTCTGGTTAGCAGTCAGGTGCCTTAGGCACTACATCACCAGAGCTCTTTCAGAAAACTTAGAATTCCATAAATAAAGTTAAGTTTATGACTGTTTCTGCTGTGGTTACTAAGGAACTCTGAATGAAGTCTGAAAGGCCCGTTTTGTTAGCCATGCCGCTAACGCGGGTGAGCAGCAGAGCTTTTGAAGGAAGCTGGATGGGTATCTCTTTCCTGCTGGGCGGTGCAGTGGTTTGTGCTTGACTGCTGACCTAAAGATTGGGGCTCACATCCACTGGGTGGCGCCCCCGAAAAATGGCCTGGCAGCGTGCTTCTGTGAGGATTGCAGCCAAGAAGATCTTTGAGCAGTTCTGCTCCTCACTCACAAAGTGGCCACGAGTTGGGGTCTGCTGTATGGCAGTGGGTTTGTCTTTTATTTGTGTTTTGCGTGCTAGCAGTTACAGTGTGCTTGTGTTATGGAATGTGCTCCTGGGAAGTGTTTGGTCTCTAGGGTCTCCCTTTGCAAGATGGGTGACGGCACCTTGCCACCTGTGGTCCAGGAAGGGTGGGGGCGGGGGGGGGGAGGCGGGATGACGACGCAGGGGTCCCTGGGTGCCACCATAATGCTCCGTGGCCTCCCAAGTTAGCTCCTCGGCCGCTCTTCTGACGGAAGTAGGTCCAGAGCTTTGCTGTCGACAGCATCTGTTTTTGATCCATCTGCCTGGGCAACAGGTGGGAGGAGGTTGACAACCTCACTGTCTCCCTTTCCAAGTCCGTGTAGCCATTGAGCCAAACATCTGAAGCGGTGGTCACACTGATTGTGAGAGACTGAAGAAGAGTTGACGTTTTATTGACTGCCTGCCTTGTGATAGGAGCTGTGGCCATTCTCCTTGTCTTGGAGACTGATGGGATGGGAATCCAGCCTAGGACTTGGGGAGTGGGTAGCATTCTGCTCTGTCCCATGCTGCCCCGTGAGACTTCCTGTGGCCTTCTGTCCTTTCTGAGGGAGAGGGAAGAGGCAGGAGTTAGTATCATGATGCTCATTACTGGAAAGCAGTTACCTGACTGCACCCCTTCAAGCCCTTTAGACTGTGATAGTTTTCTGGTATTGGTCCAGGGGTCGACAGTCACAGTGCCCTTTCTGTGGGAAACTGAAACAGGCTGGTCTTGTTTACTAATATTTTGTAATTCAAGTGAAGTCTAATATGGAGTTGTTATTCTTTTTTTTAAAAGTGCTCCACTTACAAAACCAGTAGTGTGTGGAGTTTTGGGGTGTGTGTGGGAATACTATGTTTTAACGTTTCTATAGGAAACTACGTCGGTCTGTTAATCAGTGGCTTGCATAAGGAAGGTAATCATGAGTCATGTTTGCAGAATGCATGTATAGCTTGATAAGCTATACAGTTAAATACATTCTTCAATACGTTTTTATAGAATTCCAGGCTTGTGAAAGGAGCTCTGGTAGCATAGTGCCTAAGGCACTTGACTGCTAACTAGAAGGCTGTCAGTTCAAACCCACCAGCCACTCCTCAGAAGGAAGGTTGGGCAATCTACTTCCATAGTGATACTGCCTCGGAAACCCATGGAGGGGTCGCTATGAGTCGGTCCGACTCCACAGCCATAACAAGGCTTGTGAAATCGGTGTGGTTTTTAGACCGTGGCATCTGTTGACTAGTGGCATCTAGTGGAAAAATGTAGTATTTCAGCCTGAAGAGGAAGTTGCCACATTTTAGATTTGCTTGTGACAAATCAAAGGACCTTGACTAAGGGAAAAAGTTCCATGATTTCGGAAATAACAGATGTGTCCAGTATGTGGTAACGGTGGGGAGGGCAGGGAATGTCATGGTTGTATAAGTGTTTCCTGCATGGCAGCGTGTGACACCCAGGAGCCTTTTCACTATTTTAGAAACAGCTTGATTTCAGCTCTTTTCTTGTGGAATCAAAGCTTGTTTAATGAAAGCTACTGAAAACAAACAAAAAGCTTTACATTATTGTGTTATATTGCCTATCAGTTAATAAGTACCTGCAGAGTTTTCTTTATAAAAATAGATTTAAAAATTATAAAAAAGTTCAATTTCTGGGTTTAAAAATTTGGGAAAAAGTATAAATACAATAATTCCATCTATAATCTCATCACATGTAACTGATTGACATGAATACTTTTATTGGATTTACTAGAAGGAAAAAGAAACTAAAGTGAAAACAAAGAAAAAGAACTGCAGAAAAGTAGTCTTAGAAATAGATATTAAGAACCTGAAATTTCTACTAAAATTTTAAAGTGATTAAGTAAATTTTTCATCTAAGATGTTGAAGTTATTACACTATTTATTAATAAGTTTTTCTTTCTTGTTAGAAAAAATTGATTTATAAAAAATGTAAAATCTACATTCATTTTTAGGGTACACTTCTGAAAAATTAATAGGGTAACATTGATTTATAAGAAAATTAATTTGTAAATGTAGTGGGGAGAAAGGTTGGTATCTGTAACAAACAAAAAACCAACAAACAAACCAAAAACAACACACTCAAGACTCCAAAACAGGAAACTCTGAAGAGCCAGCCCCTCTGTGTGTTCCGAGTGTCACTTGGTTCTCTTCCCCTGAATGCTGACTAAGCACTTGGAGGGTTGGCCTGGTTGTTTCAGAAACAGTGTCTCACACACGTTTTAACGTAATCTCCTTGAGGGTGGCGCTAGTGACTGGTGGTTCTTGGTGGCCTTCATGTAGCTTCTCTTGGTGTCTTGTGAATAAGGAGCACTAGTCATTGGACAAGACAGTTTCCATTTTTCCTAGTGGTTCAGGTCATCTGCATCTTCTTGAAGGCCTAGAAAAAGAAATGTATATTCGGTCTAATGCTTGTTGCGCCTGATAGAAAGTCTTTTTGTTTTCCACTTACTTTTCCCAGCATGTTGGGAATACATTCATATTTCAAATATGAAAGTTCTTGTTCTGAAAACTATAGCTCTCAGAGAATTGGTATTTTTTTTTCGTAGAAACTATACTCATTTGGTCGACAGCGCTAGCTCTTGAGGGCTTACTAGATATGAGGAAGTAGTTTAGGCACTGAGGATGCAGCAGTGGCCAGAAGTCCTTGTCCTCCTTGGAGCTTCCATTCTGGCAGGGAGGGCAGATAAACAAGGACACGTGGAGTGGGCCAGACGGTTGTAAGTGCTGTCAAGAAAAAGAAAGTAGGGAGGGCTGGTGGGGAGTTCCATCCTGTACCATGGTCAGGGATAGCCTCACGGGTGAGGGGACCTTTTAGTAGTAGAGACTTGGGGGGACAATGAGGGCATGAGCCCTGAGGCTGCCCGGGGGTGTCAGGTGGGGGGTGGGCAGAGTCCCAGGCAGAGGTCTCAGTGGTCGGAGCCCCAAGCTGGGAGCAGACTTGCTTTCTCATGTAAGTGCAAGGAGGCCAGCATGGCTGGAGGTGGGTGAGGGAGGGGACGAGACTGACTCCAGTCGCAGAATGATGTGCACCTCCGGAGCTGATCGTAAGGACTTGGGATTTGCTCTGAGTGGGCAGGGAAGCTTTTGGGGGGGCTCTGAGGGGTACCATGATTGAGTTGGGTTTTCAGAGCCTCCCTCTGGCGGTTGGGTTGAGACTAGACAGTGGGAGCACCTGTGGAAGCAGGGGACCCGTAAGGGGTGGCTGCACTTATGCAGGTGGAGGTGCAGTGGTCTGGACCGGAGGGGTGGCAGCACAGGTAGGATGGTGTGATTGGGTTCTGGACATGTTTTAAAGGTCGAGTTGGCTTTGCTGGTGGATTAGATGTAGAGTCTGAGGAGAGATGCCACAGAGACCTCGAGGAATCAAGAATGTCCTGCAGAACAGGTGGTGTGAGCCGAGCAGGGGAGGCCATGGGAGGTGGGAGCTGGGGGGCGGCCTCTGCAGTGCTTTGGAATCTGCTGGCTTTCTTGTGAATGTAGCATTGAAATTCTGCCCAGTGAAATACTCTTGAAAATGAGAGTTGAAAAGTCTCCCTGGAGTCTGTATACTGAGCCATGCAGTTCAGCGTTCCAGTGTGTCCTGTCTTGGTTCTCTTAATGATTTCATTTTCTGAAATCTTTTCTGGGCTCCTTGAGGTCAGAAGTCGATTTTCTGTGACCTTGCAGCCTGTGCGGGCCTCTTCCTAGTTCAGCACTTCATTAGTTGAGCTGGAAGTTCCCTGGAAAAGGCATTTTTTGGGAGTCCTTTGTTTGGAAGAGCGGTCTGGTGGTGCAGTGGTGAAGGCATTTGGCTGCTAACCAAAAGGTTGGTGGTTCAAACCCAACAGCTGCTCTGTGGAAGGAGGATGGGGCAGTCTGCTTCTGTAAACATTTATGGCCTTGGAAACCTAATGGGGGTTGCTATCAGTTGGAATCGACTCAATGGCAGTGAGTTTATTTTCCTTTGGTTTTTATTTTGAAGAATCCCGAGATTGTGGTATTTCAGCACCAATGGGGATCCTATCAGTGAGCAGGTCCAGTCATCTGACATTTATAAAGAAAAACATGAACGTGTAGAATAGTTGACAAATAAGAATTTGAAAAATGTGTTTGCATTTTACCCTTTCAGGTGATGTGACAACACAGGTCGCGCTCCAGCCTGCACTGAAGTTCAATGGTGGCGGTCACATCAATCACACCATTTTCTGGACCAACCTGAGCCCGAATGGTGGTGGAGAGCCCACAGGTTGGTGTCGACCGATGCACCCAGAGCTGCTTTCTGCGTGTAACAGGGCGCTGGTTGCGTTCCTTGTCCCCTTAGTCCTCACTGTTGTATCCTTGGTGGCTCATGTTTCCTAACGAGGAGCACGGTAAAGTGGTAACTTTTGAAGGGACATAGTAAGGATGGATCATAATATCAGACTTTCTGTGTGCACACGAGCGCGCGCGCACACACACACATGTAATATCAGGTACAGTGTCAACCATAGTTTCAATGTACTATACCTCATAACGGGAAGACCACGCTAAACATACAGTTTTTAAAAAAGATGAACTTTTAATTGTTATGTTGGTGAATATCTTGGTGTGTATGTTTTCACCACAATAGAAGAAAAAAAGTTAAAAAAAAAAGAAGAACCTTTAAAATTCTGGGACTGGAGTAAGCTGTTTAACTGTTTTAGTCCTTCATTTCTGTCATCTCTGTGATACAGTGCAACAATAGGACTGCTTTCAGAATGAAGTTATTAGATGTAAAGCACCTAAAATAATTGTTTTTGCTATGATTTTCTTAACTGTGTAGTCAGTTGTCCCAGAAAGTTAGGTTTTCTAGGTGTTTTTTAAAAACTGCATCCAGGAGGGGAGGGGGGGCAGGATGGTCTTATCTGGGGACTTCTCCCAGAGCCTCTGGAGGCCAAATCGGCGCCTTCCTCACCCAGGGAAGGTGCGGCTGGGAATCTAACTCCCCTCTCTGTGTCTTGGCTCCCTGCAGGTACCTTAGTTTTCTGGGTGTTTTACTCTTTTAAGCAGTGTTGTAGGCAGCCTGCTTTAGGCAGTTTGATTTTGAGGTCGTGATGGATTGGGTCATAAGTGTGTGAAGCCAGATGGTTTGTTTTCTCTGAGTAAGGTCTTCAGCCTGTGGCTCAGTACTTCAGACATCTGTGAATTGCTGGAGTGTCACATACACCCGTATTAGCCACAGGGTTTTGGTACTCTGGTGTTGTGTATTGTCTGCTGTTCTTTCTAACAACAACTACTCTTCCATGATTGCTGTTTATGATGAATGGTTGCCTTTAAACCAGTGAGAGAAGAGAAGTGGCCTTTTTGGTCCAGTTGATCTAGTTGAGGCGCTCAGCGTGGTGTTACCTGCCAGCTTGAGTGCTGCGGAATCCAGAGAAGGGTTAGACCCAGTACCTTCAGTTCAGCAATAGAAGAGGAAGTCACTCTTTTTACAGCAATATAAGGCAAAAGATAGAAAGATCTTTTGCTTTGGCAAAGAATCATGTAACAGCTCCAACTTTTGATTCCCAAATTGGGACATAGAGCAGTTAGGGAAGAAGTCAAAAGTAAAATTGTCTGTTGGGAGAAAAAAAAAGTCTAATGGAAACTATTCTTTCTTTTCTGATGAAAATAGGTAAAAATTAGCATAATAAGTAGAGAAATCCCTTTCACACTTCATTAAAAAGCGTTTTAATTAAAGCTGTGAAGCCTTAGGATGCTGGTTCCAGGACAGCAGAATGCTGGAATTTTGGGTTGGCTCTCTGGGTCATGTCATGCCTGCTGTATGATATCTAGTTGTACTATTTTCGTATCTGTAATGTAATATAACCCACGATGTGTTCACATATCATATCTTTGGATTTTTCTTTTTTTTTAATAGGGGAGCTGCTGGAGGCCATCAAATGTGACTTTGGTTCCTTTGACAAGTTTAAGGAGAAGTTGACTGCTATGTCTGTTGGTGTTCAAGGCTCAGGCTGGGGTTGGCTTGGTTACAATAAGGAATGGGGACACTTACAGCTTGCTGCTTGTTCTAATCAGGACCCACTGCAAGGAACAACAGGTTAGAGATGAACATTGTCACACGTCTTCAGGAAGAGGGTGTATTCCAAGGATTGTGACTAGAAATAAAACGTCCAGTGTTGACACTTCTCAGGGCCATGTAATAATTAGAGGAAGTCTTAACCGGTGGTTCTCAGAGGCATTGGTGTAAGCAGAAATGCTTCTGAGGTCCTTGACATCTTGTAAAATAAGTATGTGTGATGCAAACATATGTAAACTAAAATGTTTTAAATGTGCACCCTGCTTGATTCTACGGAGAATTAGTATCAGCTAACAGGATTGTATTCACTAACATAAAAACAGATTGGATCAACAGCCAGAGCAGAGCAAAGAAATCCAGCCCAGCCCAGCTTCAGAGCTTGGTCTCTCATCCCTTCCACCGAGCACTGCCTTTCAAATTTGTTTATGTGGTCAAACTGGGACGAGAGCTCAGCTTCCCCAATTTCTGCCTTTATGAGGGGGTCTCTGGTGTATGAAAATGTTTTGCTTAGAAGCTCCTGGCTGGACTCACCAAATCCTTTTTTTTCTGTGTTGAGCCAAATTGAATTAGAAGCCCTTTATACAATGCCAGTCAGCTTGTTTGTGACCCATGGGATGTATGGCATGTATATTTTCTGCCTCTAGGGTTTAGTGGGAAGCTGCTTTTAATATGTGTTTAGTGGGAGGCGCTTTTAATGTGTGCTGCCATCTGGTGGGGCCTGTATAACTGTGAGAATCTGAAAAAACAGACTACATCCCACCAACTCCAGCACCAGAGACTCCTTGGGACATACGTGTCCCACTAATTGTATCACAGTTCATATTACCTCAAATTTTTAAAATTAATTTCATTCAAAGTGCTTGCCATTACTGAAAATACATGGTTTCAACAAAAATTTCAAAGCAGAATATAATTTGGTCTTGAAAGGGTTAAGAGTATGGAAAATAGAATCTGTCATATGCCAGCCAGCACTTAGCTGGAACTTTGATCTTTGGTGTGAAGGACCCAAAGTGGTACCTTCACACTTAGAACAGTAGTTGTCACCCACTCTTTGTACACCAGGAGACTGGCTTACGTGACTCACTTCCATGCATATACTCCGATTTTGCAGGTATTGAAACATCTCTTTTGGGAAAGTGAGAATTTGTAAAAGCCACATGCTATTTGTGAGCTCTTAATGCTAGAAAGGGTCAGGTATGTCTGTACAGGCGCCTGCCCGGAGAGACAGAGGTTTCTGTTAATCTTAATCACATCCCTTCCCTGCCCACTCAAGAAGGCCCATTGGAATGAAAATAAGTGAAAGTGATGGTTATTTTTGGGAAAAATAACTTAGAAATTTGCCACTTTACTGACGTTATCTGACAGCAGTGATTAAGACACACTGGTTGAGAATTGTGTTCATAGAGAAGAATTATCATTTGGTTTCAGAGTTTTTTTAAAATTACTCTTTAATAGATATGACTACATTGTTCATCTCAGTTGCTTGAGTTCTATAAACAGTGTAACTTTTTCCTTAGACTAACTCAGTTTCCCTACTTACCATTTATTCATTTCTCATAAATTCTTTGTCTTCCTGCAACCAACATCAGCCTTGGGGAGCAGAGCAGGTTTCTCATAAGCCTGGGTGAGTGTCTAGATTCTTTGGAAGAGATGCTTGGGAGGCCTCACTCACCCCAAAAAATCTACCATGCCCTGTGGCTCCCGAGCCCACCCATGAACCCTGGAGAACTGGCTCTGATCTGTGTTGTTGGACGTTTCAGAACAACTGTTAGGAAACTGGAGTTAATCGATTTTCCCAAGTCCATCTTAATTATTTTTACTATGTCACATTTTTTTCCAAAGTAAAGTTTAAACTCTTTTAAAATAGGATATTTATTATGCAGATTTCCTGTTTATATAAGAAACTGAGAAATAAATGAGAACATTGTAGCAGATAATTTTAGGGGCATAGGATAATTAAAGTTGCAGTGGAGAAGATGCAGCTTTTTCGGTTGGGATTCACTGTTTGCTTTTTTCCCTCCTTGCCTGTAGGTCTCATTCCACTGCTGGGGATTGACGTGTGGGAGCATGCCTACTACCTTCAGTACAAAAATGTCCGACCTGACTATCTCAAAGCTATTTGGAATGTAATCAACTGGGAGAATGTAACTGAAAGATACATGGCTTGCAAAAAATAAAAGATTATCCTTACACCAAATAGGTTTAGCTCTTTGTGACTATTTTTGTAGTAGTATAGAGTATTCCAGTGTATCAATAAGCTGCTTTATTGTAGCATTTCTTAAATGTTCCTTATTCAAGTATTTGATAAACAGAAATTAATGCTATAAAGATTTTATTGTTTTAAAATTTTGTTAAGGCAACTGTGGAAATACTGAATGCTTTGTGCAATTTAATCTTTTGATCAAATGCTTTTGTCAGAGAAGGAAGATATCCTAGGAGGTTATAAATGTCATCATGAAAACCATCAACAGTGTTCCATCCCTAGATGGAATGGGCCTGTACGGAAGTCTTCCTACTCCTGTCTATTGAAATGATAGAAAAATCTATCTTGTCCCAGCCTAACAGTAAAAGCCCCCCAGGGGAAATTATTCAATTTCCTATTGAAAGTTGCTCTTTTTGTAAGTGATCCTCCGTCTACCATCCCGTCAGTGGTCTTCATGGCACACGATCTTTATTATTGCTGGCCGCATGTTTCACAGGGTTAACATGCGTTTAAAAACCCTCACGTGATTGCTCATTGAGAATTGCTTTGTCATAAGAAGATAGTTGTGCTTTTGAACTTTTAAAATATAGAAACTTTAGTGTGAAATTTTGTCCTCAAATATAGGAATCTATATGTATTGTATAAAAGTGCCCAGAGTGGACAAGTTGGGGCCTCGTTGATAAAGTTGATGAGACCCTAGGAGTTTCTGGCCGGGCACTTGCCCCTCCCTTTGTGAGGCCTGCTTCCTGAGCGTGGTCCCTGGGTTTGAGCGCAGCCTGATTTCCAGACCAGCTGCGTGCTTCCCTTAGGAACGATTCTTTTCAAAGACTTGCTTTTGAGTTATTCTGTCGTATTTTGTTTTTCATTTTCTTTTTCAAAATGTACAATCACTATAGAAACTATGTTGTGGTGAGTCGAGGAGAAACATACGTGTAAGGCAGCGTGGCGCAGCGTGTCCAGTTGTGCCATTTAGTTTTCGTAAGTTGAGCTGTGTCGATGCAGCAGCGGTCCTTTTGGTATTTGGGTGACGTCATGTGTCTCCCCAGGTGGTTCACCATCTTCCTAATTATTTTAATTGATGTGGACTATGTTATCCATTGGACATTTCCTAAGTTATTTTGCTGGATATCTGCTACTAGATACCTTGTTGGTTTCCAATTGTTATTAGAAATAATTCCACTGGAATGTTCTCTGTCTAGGTTTTCTCTTAAACCTATGTAGTTATAGGATGTCTTCTATTTTGTATTTCTGTTTTTAATTCCTTCTAACTTAATATTTCTGGTTTTTTTTTTTTTAATGGAAAAATGGAGTAACTTAGAAGTTTCAATATTGAAGACTGAAGTTTTAAAAAATTTTAAATTCAAGGTACTTTTCCCTTAGAATTCAATTAGAAAAGTTATTTAGATTTTCAGAATTGCCAGCAGTGCTGGGGAGATTGATGACTCTGTGTGTGTGTGTGTGTGTGCGCGCGCATGTGCATATTGAAAAATCGGGACTACGATTGCTATCCATAATGTACCACAGCCATGTGACTTTCATGGAGCTTAAATAGGGGTCATGTGATTACTGCTAGTCTATATAAACAGCCCTTTGGAAAGATGGGCGTTTGAACACAGGTGCAGTCTGCTAGGCGGTGGTTTGTCTGCAAGGCCATGGTTTGTCTGGGACCCACAAACGTGCACACACTACTGATTTTTATAAAGCTCTTTGGCTCCTACTAAGCTTTAAGATTTCAAAAATATTCAATATTGACATTTCTATGAGGCTCTATTTTTGCTTTGAGTTTCTGTTGAGAGAGCAGTGGCCAGAACAGAAAAGCAGTGGCCTCAGTCGAGTGATTTCCTCCCATCGGGTTGGTTTATCTAAAGGGCTGAGATAATTCACAAACTAAAAGTTTTGATCATCCAGTGGGAAGATGAGAGTTTAAGATTCCGTTTGCCCTGTTTTCATGATAGAAAAGAGGAGGAAATACAACTGCAGTGCTGCCCGCATCCCAGCTGTGCCCCAGCGGTGCTGCCCACGTCCCACCTGTGCCCCAGCTGTGCCTCAAGAGCCTTAGACTGACTGTGCCGAAAGGAAACGTGACACAAAGCAAGTCCTGTCTCTGAAACAGTGTTGTGGCTTGAACAGTAGTGTAGTAATTAAACTTTTATGGGGGAACTACAACTTCACTGCACAACTTTATGATCGTAAAATGAGGTTTAAATTCTGTCGAGCACCTTTTCAAAAGTAACAGCCAAACCATGCAATGTAGATTGATGTGTGTTGCCAGTCATCTGAACAGGGTGTGGATGTAAGTTTTGTTTTCTGTTTTAATTTCAGGGGAGCTGTATTAGGTGAATGTTTGTAAGTTACTATTTCTCATTATCAGTCACACCCTAACGATCCCATAAGTTAACGTCCTGTCTTCTAAGGTACCATCAAATCAAGCCCTGTGAGATTCCACATAGTTTCTATTTCATTGTTCATTAAAGAAGCCGCTATTTTCCTACTCTTAAGTGTGAAGTGTTTTGACTGTTAATAAAAGAATCCGTGGGTCGTCAGAAGAGTCTGCGCTGTACCTGTGGGTGTGCGTGTGCTGCGGGCGCTGACAGTCCTGCTTCATCGCTTCCCTGCTTTTCTGTGGGGAAGGAAGAGTAAATGACGGGAGTTGACATCTGATTTCTAAAGTCCAGAGGCACATGGACTGTGTGTCCGCTCACATCTCTAATACCGTTACCTGACATATAAAAACAGTATTTCATACACTAAATTACAAAGTTTTCATGTTGCAGCACCTTAGAATATTGCCTTAATTTGTTTTACAGAAAGTCTGAATGGTGGTATTTTACTCACACTGACCCAGGGCACCGTTCCCTGGTTACTGGGATCATGGAAAGGGGCAGTGAGGATGGCCTGGGCTGTCTCTGCTAAGTCATACCTTCTGCTGTTCGTTCCATGGGTGCTTGTAACAGTGACAGTGGCTGCTCTGAAGATGCTTCCAGAATATGGTCCAAAGGTTCTGACTGCCTCTATTTCATGGAAGGGAAAGAGAAGCAGGTTTTTTTTTTTTTTTTTTAATTTTATTGTGGTTTGGGTGAAAGTTTACAGAGCAAATTCATTTTCCAATGATCCATACCCACTTTGTGTCATGACCTCGACTGCCATTCCTCACAATGTAATAGCTCTCTTCCCACTTCTAGTTACTGCTTCCCTGTTCCTTCCCTCCCATGCGCTCCCCCACCTCCAACGGTCTCCCTGCCCTCCGTTGATCACTCCAAGGAGTGTATCTACCGGATGTAAATGTTCACCCCATATGCCTGTCTGTTGTTTGGCTGGAAGCCACAGGAGTGAGTGCAGTTCCAGACCTGAAGGGTAACGAGGAGCCACGAGCTGAAGAGTTCAAGTTCCTCTTCTGCACCATTCACTTTACTTGCAGTGTGTCCCATCATGGCACCCAGGGGCTCTTGTAGTGTGTGACCCGCTGGTAACTCCGTGTTTGTCTCTGCTCTCAGCAGAACTTTCCATGGTGGCCCAGGGCATCAGCTGCCTGTTCATCTGCGTGCCTGGTACCTCGCACACAATTCTATAGTCAGATAATTCAGTGGTGTGAGCGAATCTATTCATTATAAAGCGTGAAGTGAATGCCGATTCTCCTGTTTCGGCAATGAGTAGCTGAGACTTCAAATTAACACACAAACCGCAAGATGTTGGACAGCATGAGGTTGAAGTGCCGACCGTGCAGCAGCCGAGCGCTTAGGCACTGTCCCTGCAGGACTCCTTGCTGTTGTGACAACCAGAAAACCAAACTCAACTGCCA